CAGCATTGTTGGTGTTAGTGGGGGAATGTGTTCCTTCATTGTATTTGAGCCCTTTGTATTACACTCTTGATATTAAATTAAATGTGCCTTCAAGTAAAAAAAAAAAAAATAAAGTGGTATTCAAGGTCGGGCACCGGTGGCTCACACCTGTAATAAAGTGATGGTGCTACAATACAATCACCATGACAACTGGCCCACAGGAGGCAGAGATCAGGAGGATCACGGTTCGAAGCCAACTTGGGCAAATAGTTTATGAGACCCTATCTTGAAAAACCCTATCACAAAAAGGGGCTGGTGGAGTGGCTCAAGGTGAAGGCTCTGAGTTTAAGTCTCATACTGCAATAAATAAATAAATAAATAAATAAATAAATAAATAAATAAATAAATAAATAAAAAGTTGTATTAAATGGTATCGTACCCAGAAGAAGGGAGATAAACTAATTCAGTGGTTCTCAGGATTATCTTGATGAAAAGACTGTGGCCCATTAATCATATTCTTGATGGGAAACTGCCACCACAGTGCATGGATGGTACTTCCAATTAAGGGGTGATAAGTGGTAATATTCATTCAAATCAGGAAACACAAATGAAAACCAAGGCATCAGCAGCCATGGGTGCAAGTAAGGCTATACTGTTATTGGTGCCCGGATTGCCAATGAGATGAGAGCGGTGGAAATAAGCCTATTACCAACACTCTCATCTACACATTTGTTTCTCCTTTCCCCATATTGGGTCCTTCCTGCTGTTTCTGGAGCTCCCAGGGCTTCCCTGCTACTGTGTCCACTGTCCACATCAGAACTTTTTCTTCAGTGTTCCATGGTCCCTTCTACTGGGGATGCTAGCCAGCCTCAGTCCTCAAGTTACTCTGTGGTCTCCTGGTCTGAGCAGGGTGGGGACAGGGAGATTAGTTGTTGATCCTATTCTGCATGTGCCCTGCCTGATTAGATCCAGGGTCTCACAGCCTTTCAGGAGCACAGTTCCTTCAGGATCTCTGCTGACTCCTCCCTCTATAGGTAGAGAACCCAAGGCTGCTCAGCAGCCTGTTGGGAAAGAGTGAGGGGAGTAGATACCACACATGCATGTTTCCAACATGGTCTTCCTCCCTGCCTTATGAGTCTCAGACAACATCAAAAGTGCTCCTTTTTTCCCTGCATCCCAAACCAGCCCCAATCTCTCCCTATAGCCATTTATTGAATTCACACAAAAGGGCCACTCACTGCCCACTGGTTCTACAGACAGCGATCCAGTTTATACCCAGGACATCTTGTTATACAAGGTGGGATGGCAGACAAGCTGTTCCATGACAGATGCAGGCATCTTCAGATGTCTTCAAAGATTTACACTCATACTGTCGGCAGAACTATTTTCCCAGAGTAGCCTACAGGTTTGTTCCTACTCTACAATCCAGGATTTTTTTTCTCTCTCTTTTTTGGTGGTTCTGGGATTTTGAACTCAGGGCCTCATGCTTGCTAGGCAGGTACTTTTACTCCTTGAGCTATTCCACCAGCCCTATGACACAGGATATAACAGCCTCTTCTTCCCTTCCCTAGCAAAGACCTTTTGAATCCATAGTCAGTTATTTAGTTACTGTTTAATTCTCCAGTAATTCACACCAGTTCTCATGGCAGGGAGAACAGGACACAAGACTTTTTGCTTAGGGAAGTACCGTTCAAAGTGGGAAGCTTAAAGAACCCGGAGGGAAAAGCAGTGAACTTGATATTCCATGTACAAGTGGACAACCTAGGACAGCCCGTACTCCTGCTTCTGCAGCTATGTTTCTAAAACACTGACTGTGAACTGGAAAACTGATGTGGCTTCTTGCTTCAGGGTTGACAGAATTATATGATGTCAGGCCAAAGTTTGGGAAACAAAGAGGCCTCCTCGAGGAATCACAGTATTCCTGACTCTGCTGCCCTCGTGGGGCTGGCTGCTCTGTGCTGGGGCTTCTTCATTGGATTATTTCCTTAAACTGGTCTTCCTCCCATAGAGAACCTACTCTTTTTTTTCCAGTGGCTTCTTCCTCAAATTCAACTGCCAGAAGTCGCGGCTCTAAGCACACATTCTCTCCATAATGTTACCTGACTTTGTCTTTCTAGTCTTTTTGTCACTGTTAAGTGCCATGGGGCAGCTGGGTGTGGAGGCAAAATGTGAGGAATCTGAAGCCAGAGGACTTGATTTAAATTTTAGTTCTGCAGCTTACTAGCTGCGTGACATTGGGTAAGTTATTTCATCTCCTTGAACTTCCTTATCTTGATTTTTAAAAATATTACTCACGATATTTTTTTTCCAGTGGTAGGTATCAAGCCTAGGACCTCACGAAATAGACCAGGCAAGTGCTCTACTACTGAGCTATATTCCTAACCCTAATTTAAAAAAGATATTTATGGTAGGTGCTTCTCTTTTGCTTCCACCTCTTTCCCAGCATGCAGAGCTGCATTTTAGGATCACACCCTCAGTGGTTCCCCATGGGGAGGGATCTATCTGATATGAGACTGGGTGTAGGAACTGGGTGTACCTTCTCTGTTCTTCCCCTTTTTTAGTATTTTGGGTGCAGCTCTTGAGGGCACATGGTCTCTTGTGCACCTCCTTAGGAGCAGGCTGTCACTGATAGGCTGTGAGTATCCTGAAACCTACTTCTTTGTAGCCACAGTGATGTTCTCCAGTGTTGACTATATTCACAATACAGATATTTTGCTTTCTATCTGCTGTGCCCTCTTATTTCTCAAGTGCTTCAGGATTCTGGTGGAAATGGAGAAATTAGATATGGGGCCCCCTGAAGATCCTCAATGTGATTGTCATGAAGAACTATAAAATTTACAAAAAGGGGCACATAACTGTAATCCCAGTTACTTACGGGGCATGGGTAGAAGGATCAGCGTCTGAGGGTGACCAGTCAAAATCATGAGAGAGATTCTATTTGAATAACACACTAAAAGGAAGGGGGCATGGCTCAAGTGGTAGAGAGCTTGCCTAGCAAGCTCAGTGTCCTGAGTTCAATTCCCAGTACCTCTCCACCACCCAAAAAGTTACAAAAAGGCTTTAAAGGAAAAAAGGAAGCATACCTCCATTTTACCACTGACCTTCAGTCCCCAGGTACCAAGTTCCCCTCCCCAGGGGCAGTCACAAAAACCAGTGTTCTCTTCAGGAGAATCCAAAATATATACAAACACACACACATTATCTATATGAGTAGGGCATATTAAGAATTCTGTTCAGCAAAAGGTCTTTTGTGTTTGCTTGTTCTGAGACAGGGTCTTGTTTTTGTAGCCCAGGCTAGTTTCAAATGTACAGTCCTCCTTTTTCAGCCTCCCAAGTACTGCGATTATAGGCATGTACTACCACCCTCGCCTGAGGTCTTCCTTTATTAGAATATACAGAGCTTCTATTGTGTGTGTGTGTGTGTGTGTATGTGTGTACGGTACTGGGAATTGAATTCAGGGGCCTGTGCTCTTGTGCTTTGCTAGGCAGGTGCTTCACCACAGCTCTTTTTGCTTGGTTATTTTTGAGACAGAGTCTCACTTTATGCCCAAGGTGGCCTGGACTGCTTCCCTGCATATCTGGGAATGATAGGCATGCACCACTATGGCCAGATAGTTGTTGAGATTCGGTCTCATGAACATTTTGCCTGGGCTGGCCTTGAACCATGATCCTCCCAATTTCCACCTCTCAAGCTAGGATTACAGGCTTGAGCTACCACTGTGCCTGGCTTTTTCATTCTTTATAATGACTTTATAACGTACTCCACAAACTAGTCCCCTCTCAATGGGCATCAAGGTTTTCTCAGTCTTTCACTGTTAACTGACAGTTGGGCATAATGGATACATGTGAGACCTCCGGCACCAACTGCCTGGACTCGTGTCCCAGTGCCGCTGCTACTAGCAGTGTGAACTTAGGCAAGACATTTAACCTCTCTGTGCCTCCATTTCGGTATCTAAAAATGAGAATAGGACTGGAGGTATGGCTCAAGTGGTAGGGGGAAAGTCTTAAGTTTCAGCCAATTTGATTAGCATGGCCCTTAGAGTTACGTAGGTAACTTCTATGCACTGAAGGAGGATAAAGTCTCAGAAATGGTAAAATTGCTTAGAAATTCTTGAAAATAAAATTTCAAGTGTTGTAGCTATCATTCAATTGCTGGCCATAGTAGTTGAACCAAGCTACTGTCCCGTCAGTGTGCACTGTCACATGTGTCTTGGGTCCTCACAATCAAGCCCACGCAGGTTGTTAGCAAACTCTTTGAATTTGGCCCATCTTATTATGTAAAAATACTATCTAATTGTTGATCAAATTACCATTTCTCTTATTAGGAGTGGAGTTGAGTATCTTTTCATAGAAGAACCATTTATTTTCTACAAATTGCCCAATCTATCCATTGTCCTTTTTGTCTATTGAGTTGTTGGCTTTTCCCTCTATTCATTTTTTTTAATATATTAAGAAAGTTAGCTTTATGTTTATGAGATGTTTTGTAAATGTCTTACAAGCTTGCCATTTGTCTTTTGACTTTTTAATGGCATTTTATAAGTTAATATTTTCTGATTTCTGGGCTTCGTGTCATACATTCAAAGGTAGGCTCTACTCTGAAATTATTTTTTTTAAATTCTCCCATACTTCTCTAGTACTTTAATTTTGAAGTTTAATTTCTGTACTTTTTTCTTTTTCTGGTGGTACTGGGCTTTGAACTCAGGGCCTCACGCTTGCAAGACAAGTGCTCTACCACTTGAACTATTCTGCCAGCTACAGTTTAATTTCTGTGTTAGTCATACTTTTCATCGCTATGATAAATACCTGCAAGAAACTACCTAAAAGGGGGAGAGCCTTGCTTTGATTCATGATTTCAAGGGTTTCAGACCAGGTTAGTTGGTTTCAGTGCTTTGGGCCTGCGGCAAGGCAGAGCCTCATGGTGAAGAAGGTGATATGGAGACGAGCAGGCCACCTTATGGCAGCCAGAGGGAAAGGACTGGGTACAAGGAGGCCATAGCACCTACTTCCTCCAGCTAGGCCCCATCTCCTACTTTCTTTCCACCACCTCCCAATAATGTCTTACATTATGAATCCATCAAGGGATTGATCCATTGATTAGTCAGGAGTCCTTGGGACCCAATCACTTCCCAATAAGATTGTCATCTGGCAGCCAAGCCCCCAATGCATGAGCCTTCTGGGGACATTTCAGATTCAAACACAATTTATTTTGATATGAGAAGTGAAATGACTATGTGGCTACTTTTTTTTTTTTAAATCTCAGCCCCATTTAGTGACTAAATCTCCTCCCCACAAATGATTTGATATGCCCTCTGTAACACACCCTGAATTTCCTTGTGTATTTTGGTCGTTTTATTCTATTCCATAGATTCGTTTATTCAGACATTATTAGCATATTGCTTTAATTAGTCTTATTTTGTAAAACAGGTACTTTTTACAAAAGTACCTAGTTAGCTGTTAGGGATAGCCTTCCCATGTTACATTCATTTATTATTTATTTTTATGAACTTCTCTGGATTTGATTTCCTATTTGTTATCTAAGTAGAAATTTTACAGTAAGTTTGCCTAGTGAAAAATAATCATACTGATATTTTTAATGGGATTGTCTATACGACTATCCGTTGGAATTTGGGGAAATCAACACTAGATTAGCCTTTTTCTTTGTTCTCATATAAGATCATCTTACATATTTCTCATACCACAGGAAGGAGATAGAAACTCACATTTGAATAGTGCTTTATACAATATGAACTTTGTGCTTTGTGAAGAAATCTGGTCCTGATGTCTGGAGAAGGTGACAGGGACAGGCTAATAACTGATGAAAAAGGAGGTGACATTTGTAGAGGGTTGAAAGTCTTGATAGATTGTTCATTTGGTTGACTCCTCTCTGGTTGGTCAAGGGAGGTGGGGATACGCTCTGTGTACTAAGCTCTGACCCCCATACTTTAGAAGGGTATAAAAGGAGCCCTTCGAAGAGCCATTGGCTGTCAAGTATGATGAGGGAGCAGCAATCTTTTCTCTTGCTAGGAAAATGAGGGGCCATTGGTATTTAAGACTGCTGATAACATTGCCAGATGGTGTCTTGAGCAGCTTCACACTGGCCATGGTCCCAAATTTGTAAAAAAATAAAAAGGGAAAGTAATATGTAGCTGGAGTTGTGATGAGAAGAAGTAGACTCAAGCCTCATTGAACAGGCAGATGTGATTTTGTCACTTTAACGTGCGCGTAGACAACGGGGTCCGAGTCTGCAGAGCAGTTTTCAGTCAGGTGGCTGCTCTTTTCTTCTGATGGTCTGAAAGTCATGCTGGCATAGGTAAGTGACTCCTTTGGTATGGATGAAAGCTTCAGAGGAGAAAAAGGAGGATTGAGTGGACTGAATTTGGAAAAAAAGCTGTCTCTGTAAAAGTAATCTGAAAGCTTTGGTAAGAGGGGAGCCAAAGAGATCAGTAGAACTCTTCAAAGAATTGCCTTGCCCAGAGTTCAGAACACCACTATTCTAGTCAATAATGCAGAAGATGGGGAACTGGCAATGGCAGTGGCCTCTAGTGCTCTGGAAACATGACCATCTTACCTTGGCAGGAGAATCTGAGTGAGGATCCAGGACTTGAGGACTGGGGTGACCTGCAACAAGGGCCAGGAAGAAGAGGGACAAGTCACCAGTGGGGCTGGGGGCGTGGGGAACCTCTCCCTTCAGCTTTTGATGGAGCAGTGGGCGGGAGGTGTTGGGGGCGGAGAGAGCAGGGAAGACACAGACACAGAGTTCTGTTCTGCAGAGAGAGTGGCTAACACTCACTCCTGACCTTCTGTCCTCCACCACAGAGGGAAGGTGGTCCCTTTGCTCAGAAAACACTTACATCTTCTGCAGCTCTTTATGATGAGGAAGACAAACGCCATCAGCAACAGTGTCAGTAGAACTCCAGCAAAGAAGGCCAAGATTAAACTATTGTTTAGGCAAAGAAAAGGAACAGATGAACAGCTGGGCCTTTTGAAGCTTAGCCTAAAAGCCAAGTGTCACTTTCTCCATCTGTGGGTAAGCCCTTGGAACAGCTCTCACACTGGTTGGTGGACTTTCACCCCTCACGCACTAGTCAATATTTTGCTTTTGAATTACAGTGCATTCAAAGCCTCAGTGAGAGCCATAGCTCACTCCCTTCCCTGCCCCCAAAACATCCATGTTTACCCTGTGCCCATCTTCCAGCACACTGTGCCAGCTGAGGGATTTACAGATCTTCTGAAGTATTGGGGGATACTGAGTTAGAACTACGTCATTAATTCTCCCAATCTTTCTGGTCCCTTTCCCCCTGACTTCCATCCCTAGCTCCAAGCCACAGCTGTCAACATAAAACCCAATGCCATGTGGCCCAGGATGAAAGGATGGATGGAGGGGTCCCTTACGTGGGATAATTGGAGAGGCAGGATAGCGAGCTGGTTGTTGGGGCTACCGTGGGGGTGTCTGCAAGAGAACACAGGATGGGTCAGTGTAACCTGCTCCTTCTCCTGCCGTCTTTGCAGCATGGAGTCCTAGGTACCTCCAGGTTGGTGACTGGACTCTAGCTCCACAGAGGGTCTTTTAAAATGAGAATTAAACTGGACCCCAAAACAGCTAGCTATGCAAACAAATGACATTAAGACTTCAGTGTTCTGCAGTCCTGTGTGTCTCTTAGATAAGAACACATCTCATGTGTCCCCCTCCCAAAGATTTTAGTAGGAAGCCCTTGGGGTGAGATATGTCACCCCTGATTGAAGCCAGACTCTCCTGCTTGGGAGGGAGAAGCAGCAGTGAAAGTCATCATCAGTGCTTCCCAGAGTCCTGAGCACTTTGACCTTGGAATGGCTACCTTTTCCTGGTTGTTTGCAGGGCAGCTTTTAGCAGTGCCTGGCCCAATGCAGCCACTGTGGGTTTCCCAGTGTGGTGTGGACCACACCAGAGGGGAGCAAGAAAGGAAGTGAGCTGGATTCTCATACATCACCCAGCTGGTCTGATCAGATTTGGAGGGCCAGGTAGTTCTTTCTGCTTCCCCTTTCCATTTCTTGGGGCATTTGATTCTGCATTACAGGAAAATCTGATTCGTCCAATTCAGAAGTGCACTGGGCAGTGCAGCCCACTTCAGCCCTTCAGCCCCAGGCCCTGCTCTGCCTGCACACTTTAACTTAGCACTGTGGTAGGTGACAGTGTCTATCCTGAACTCACCAATTTTGGTTGTAGATGCGGAGTGACTTCCTCCCATGCTGTCTTCCCCTGAGAATAAAACAGGTACCTCTTAAAAAGCTTGGCAAAGAGAGGCAGCTGAGGGGCCAACTTAAGACTGATAGTAATGAGCAGCGACAATGAAAGAGAGGCAATCCTGGGTGTTCAATGCCATCACAGGTCACAGACTTTATCTAGGGTGGTGCAGCTCGGTCACCAGTCCTCAGCTTTGCAAATCCAGTAATTTGATCTTATCAGGGTACTAGGAATTGACTGACTGACTGCTCTGGATCTGATTTCCCACCAACCAACTTACAGCAGAGTGACATATAAACGGGAATGGTGTAAAGAACAGGTTGATGTAACCAGTGCATTCTATCCATCAGGACATATAAGAATGTCAATTAAAACCATAATTCTGGGGCTAGTGGGGTGACTCAAGCAGTAAGAGTACCTGCCTAGCAAGAGCAAGGCCCTGAGCCCACAAAAACAACAACAACCAAAAACCAAAACAAAACAAAAAACATCATTCTGCTTGGTAAGCATTGAATTGAAGTAAATATGGGAGAAAATAGATGGGTGATTTTAGTATTGACTTCTGAGGCATCTACCTCATCTTCTTTGTTTGGTGGGACTGGGATTTGAACTCAGGGCTTCATGCTTCAAAGCACTCTCCCACTTGAGCCACACCTCCACTCCATTTTGTCCTGGTTATTTAGGATGGGGTCTCACAAACTATTTGCTGGGACTCACCTCAAACCACCATCCTCCTGATCTCAGCCTCTTGAGTAGCTAGGATTATAGACGTGAGACACCAGCTCCTGACTCTACCTCACCTTTCACTGGCAATGCTGATAAACTGAGAAACTTGCTCTTGGAGTTCCTTCCTCTAGGTTCCATCAGGCATTCCTAGTCTGTTCACATGTTATCTTTTCAAGTATGCAAAGTCCTTGTCGACGCTATGGTTCTGTTTGATATGTTAAGGCTTCTTTATTTTTCCTCTTTAACTTTTTTCAGAAAGTCTAAAGACAGAAAAGTAATATCACCTAAATTCCTACTATCCATTGTTCATAATTTTATATCTTTTTAAAATTTTATATCTTTTTAGTGGTATACCATGTGTTTTATTAAAGCATGAAGTATTTTTTATTAAGTTCTTCATATAAGAAGTTATATTCTGGGTTGAACATGGTGCTACACACTTCAGCTACTTGGGCGGTAGAGACAGGAGGATTGCAATTCAAAGCCAATCTGGGCAAAGGTCACATGAGAACCTCTCTGAAGAACAAACTAAAAGCAAAAAGTGATAGGATGCTTGTCTAGCAAGTGTGAGGCCCTGAGTTCAATCCTCAGTACCACAAAAGTTTTATCTTTCCTTTTTCCCTCAGTATTTTGTCAGATGCATTGTCCCATCCCTCTAAAAACTGGGTAAACATTTTTAGTGGTGATAGGCCGTTCTGTTACAGTACCCCCCTCCTAGTCTGGGGGAGAGGTATGTTCCAACATGTTCTCCAGGTGCCTGAGACTGTACTACCAAACCCTATACAGAATATGCTGTTTTTTTCATATACACATGCATACCTATGATAAAGTTTACCTTGTAAATTGTGTGTAGTAAGAGTTTAAGAACAATAACTAAAATAAAATAGAATAATTATAACAACATATTGCAATAAAAGCTATTTGAAACTTAAAATGTTTATTTCTAGAACTTTCCATTTAATATTCTTAGGCCCCCGTTGACCATGAGTAACTGAAACTGTGGCAAGTGAAACCACGGGTGGGGGAACTACTGTGAATATATATAACATACAACCTGCTTAATCAGCTCCACACTTCTTGATATAAATAGTTTCCAACTTATTTAAGTAAATAACAGCACATAAAACTTTGTATACATCCCTGATTATTTTGGGGTGGACACAGTTTTACCCTATATTTAGACAAATCTCTGATAAAAAAATTTTGGTTCTACTATTTCTGCTCAATTTCAAGGTAATTGACTTAGACAACAAATGCTATTAATTGTTTATGTGTTTTATTCATTCAGCTCTCAAAAGTTAATTTCCAAGTCCTTGGCCCTGGGGGAAGGCTGGGAGGAGAAGGATTCCTTATCCCCATGAATCAGTCACAACAGCAATAATAGTGACATCATGAAGTGCCATCATGAAGTATTTTTAGATCCTGCAACGTAGGATAATAAGAAAAGTGCCAGCTAGGCATGGTGGAACACACCTGCAAGCATTCAGGAGGTTGAGGCAGGAGGATCTTGAGTTCCATACCAGCTTGGGCTGATCTCAATAAAATAACAACAAACAAACAAACAAAAATGGGCACCTATAATCCTAGCTACTCAGTAGGCAGAGATCAGGAGGATCACAGTTTGAAACCAGCCCAGGGAAATAGTTTACAAGACCCTATCTGGAAAATACCCAACACAAAAAGGGGCGGAATGGTTCAAGTGGTAGAGAGCGCCTGGTTAGCAAGTGTGAGGCCCTGAGTTCCAATCACAGTACTGCCACCACCACCCCACCCCCCAAAAAAAAGAGAAGTCTGAGCTGTGAGAATAGGAAGCGATAGTCCACAGCAGAATCAGCAGGGGTTAAAATTTTTCTAGAACTTTGTTCCTCTTTGAATTTTTGTCAGTGGTGCTCCTTGGAAAGCATCAAAAAGTAGCAGTATAGTGCATAATTTTTATTACATTACATTTATATAAATATGTTCTATAAAATATAACACTTAAAAAATATTGAGGTATGAATTTGCACTAAAGAAAGCATGAACTTACATTAGACCTTTCTGTTGGGCACATTCAGAACCACTCATGGCCTGTGTATGCTGATGACCTTCACTGATGACTGAATGTACAACCATCCTAAAGAAATGTTACCACCTAACACAGTTAGGCTGCCTCACTATCACACAATGCCACAGGGAAATAGCCACTTTCATACGAAGGCCAAGAAAAGCAGGAAATATATTTTCCTCTGAAAACAATAACTCAATTGTTTGACAGAAGCACAGAGTTAACATAGAAACAGTGCTATATATACACTTTTTTATCTGGCTCTAGAGAGTCTTACTCATTGCCACTAAATCCATAAACAACAGCCATTCAAATACAACCCTTCTCCCCACCAAGTCAAAGAAGAAAAATAACAGAAACCACTAACAATGACACGACATTGCCTTTTGGTGAGCAATTATTTCACCGAGATTAAAAGTATCTGATAAATGCATTTACCTTTCAAGAAAAAAATCCGATCATAAGATGCTGTGGTCTAAAACTGAACTTTTTACTGGCTTCCGTTACTAGTCCTATTTTTCAGAAATGATGAAATAAAGATCACCGTCACTGTCACTGCCACCAAAGGTTTAAGCTCCTGGCAGACTTCCTCTTTGAGGTCCTTGCTACATTTAAAAAAAAATTTCCCAGAAGCAGTGAGAGCTGCTTTTGTACCTTTTGACACATGAATGTCCAAATGTAAGAGGACAAGTTCGTTTCTAATTCAGTGTTTATTTAGTCACCCTGCAGATATTGTGGAGATCACATTAGTAAATTAGTATAATACATACTTATATATATGTCATACAGTGTGACATTGTCACTGTGGCCAAGGATCTTATAACTGCATCTAATCTAACCAGAGAGATGAATCTTACAAAGGAAATGAAAAGCAAACAGTGTAAGATTAAACTATTAGCTGTGCACATGTATCGATATCCCTTCAAGTGGGTGCCAGTAATTTACACCTGCAATCCTTGCTACTCGGGGAGGTTGAGATCAGGAGGATTGTGGTTGCAAGCCAGCCCAGGCAAATAATTCGCAAGACCCCCATCTCCAAAATAACCAGAGTGAAATAGACTGGAGATGTGGCCGAAGGGGTAGAGAGCCTGCTTTGCCAGCGGGAAGCCCTGAGTTCAACCAAAAAGAACAACAACGACAAAAAGAGATTTCTCCAGAGAGGTAAGTAGACTCATTTATTTACAAACATTGATTTGTAAAATGATCCGATTAAATATACTCATTAGATAGACACTACAGAGAATTGGTTGCTGGGATTCAAGTGACATCTCTCTGGGATCCGAGTGGGGGCATTTGTAGAGGGTGAGAGGTGATGGTTACACAGATGGATTATCAGGATGAGGTGGAGGTCTTTAAGTCCAAGCCAGATGCATACAGTCATGCACTGCTGAACGATGTATGAGAAATACATCAGTAGGGATTTCATTGTTGTGTGAACATCTTAGAGTGGCATAGGTCAATCATTTGACGTGGCCTCCATGCAATCATGAGACTCAATAAAAACAAGATACACGAGACTGCCAGCAACAAGGGACACTGGTTTATAATAAAGGGTTTTTTTAAAATGAGTATAAGGAGTACACTCTAAAATAGTGGTCAAAGGTGTAAAAGTACAAGCCAGGTGCCAACAGCTCACACCTGTAATCCTGGCTACTCAGGAGACAGAAATCAGGAGGACCACAGTTTGAAGCCAATGGAGGCAAATCGTTCTTGAGACCCTATCTTGAAAAAACTGATCACAAAAAGGAGCTGGTAGAGTGGCTCAAGGTGTAGGCACTGAGTTCAAACTCTAATAGCACCAAAAAAAAAAAAAGTGAGAGTGTAGCATAGCAAGTCTTTGTTATCACACCCATATGGCATCTGCAGCACCACAAACATGAGTGACGATTTGTGCTATGGCATCACAATAGCCAGATGTCACAGGGGGAGAGGAATTGTTCAGCTCCATTATAATCTGCTGGGAGCACTGTCATAGATGTCGTCTACTGTTGAGCAAACCATCATTAGTTGGTGCATGACTGTATTTCAAGTTGATAAAATAAGGAGCCACTAAAGTTTTTTTGTTTCACATTTTTTTATTTTGGTGGCACAGAGGTTTGATTGAACTCTGGGCTTTGAGCTTGCTAGTCAGGTGTTTTGCCATTTGAGCCACACCCCCAGTCCTTTTTTGTTTTAGCTATGTTTTAGATACGGTCTCGTGTTTTTGCCTGTGGCCAGCTGCAGACCAAGATGCTCCTACATAGCTGGGACAGCGCCACTACACTTGCTTGTTGGTTGAGATGGGGGCCTCACTAATTTTTGCCTGGGCTGGCCTCAAATTGTGATCCTCTGGATTTCTGCCTCCCAAGTAGCTGACATTACAGATGTGAGCCTCTGCACCCGGCACTAAGGGTTTTTTGACTGGGATATAATATGATAACATGGTCTTTAAGAAAGGTTATACCATGATATATATGATAAGTTGTGGATAGGAAAGAGGCAAGGGAATAAGCTAGGGGGCTATTGCAATATTCTGAGTATCATTTAGTACGGGTATGGCCAAGAGGAATGGAGGAAAGCCCAGGTGTGAGAAGATTGGAGGACAGCTGGGTGCTGGTGGCTCACATCTGTAATGGGACCTGAATATGGGAAATAAACTAGCAGGATGAATCAATGATTACATCAAGCTTTTGAATTTCAGTGTCTTGGAGAGTTCATTTTATTCACTCCAAAGATATCTGTTGAACATCCGAAGATGTCTATGTGTCTTGTACTACTCTAAGCGTTGAGGAAGCGATGGTGGGCATAAATGGCTTTTTTGCGTGTCTCTGTGGAGCATCTGTACTGTAGAAGATGCTGTTCACAGAGAAGTAGAAAATTGCAGTGAGTATACACGCTGCGAAGGAGCAAGAGCCTGGGTCTCATACACCTACAATACAGGGACGCAGGGAAGAGTTCCTGGAAGAAAACAGCTACGCAAAATCCTAAAATGCAGGATGGACTTCTCTAGACCAAGTGGGGGGGAAAGTTCAGAAGGAACAGATCATCCGAAAACCCTCTGCCAGAAAGGAGAGTAGGGAGTTCAAGGACAAAGAAAAAAGAGTGACAATAGCTAAGAGATCAAGGCTGTATATGAGGTGACACTTAGGTGGAGTGAAGGGATATGGATTGTGGTAAAGCTGAAGGTGCAGGAAGGGACTATGCCCTCAGAACTTTGTTTTTTTGGGGGATCCTCCTGATCTCTGTCCCCTAAGTAGTGAGTAGCTAAACTCTGACTAACTTTCCTTGGGACTTTTCTTTTTTTCTTTTTGGTGGCACTGGGGTTTGAGTTCAGGGCCTCACGCTTACTAGGCAGGCACTGTACCACTTGAGCCACTCCACCAGCCCTGCCCTCAGAACTTTTGTTGCTATTGTAGGAGAAATAGGTGTACTAATTCTAAAGGTGTGCAACAAGTTTGATACCATCAGATTTGCATGCTGGAACAATCACTGAAACGGGTAGGGAGGACAGATTGGAACAGAACAGATTTGATCAGGAGAACTGAGAGATCCCTACAGAGATCCAGTTGAGGGATAAAAGTAAGATGGACGACCACAGCAGCAGCAAATGGATAAAGCAATGGGGAGGCATTTGAGAGAGATTTGGGGGAATGGCAGCAGAAAGGAGGATGAAAAGTCAAAGACTATCTGTTAGCTTTACATCGCTATGACCTGAGAAAAGTGGAGGAAGGCTTTATTTTGCTTGTGATTATCAGAGGGTTCAGTCCTTGATCACTTGACTCCATGTTCCAGACACTGTAGTGAGGTGTAACATCATGGCTGTTCACCTCATGGTGGTCAGGAAGCTGAGCGAGAGGAAGGAACCTGGAACTAGGTATAAAACCTTCAAAGACACACTCCCAATGATCTACTTCCTCAGACCCCACCTCCTAAACTTTCCACCACCTCCCAAAACGGTGCCATCAGCTGGGGACCAAGAGTTCAACACACAACCCTTTTTGGGGGGGACACTTCATACCCAAACCACAACAGACTATGATCAAAGATATCACCAAAGGGCAAGGATGAGGAAGAGGAGCCAGAGAAGGCAACAGAGATAGTTAAAAACTTAGGGAGCAACCAGGCACCAATGGCTCATGCCTGGAATCCTAGACACTTGTGAGGCTGAGATGGGGAGGATTGTGGCTCAAGGCCAACCTGGGCAAACAGTTTGAGAAACCCCATCTCCAAAAATAACCAGAGAAAACTGGACTGCAGGTGTGGCTCTAGCAGTAGAGTAGCTGCCTGGCAAGTGCAAAGCCCTGAGTTCAAACCCCAATATCACCAGAAAAATAGTAATAAAGTTAGGGTGCAGGTTAATTGATAATCAGGCATTCATTGAGCAGCTACCATGACCCAAACACTCTGCTAAGTTCTGGAGGAACAATGATAAGCAAGACATAGTCCTTGACTTGAGGCATTTTGCAGAGACAGACAGATTCCTCTACATGTTCCAGAGTTTCCAGGCACAAACATCAGCGTAATGAAATGTTGATATTGTGTTACACATCTGTACAGCATCGAGTGAGGCTGAAAAGAGAAAGGGTCTGGCTACCTTAAGATGAGGGAGGGTGTGTGTCAAAAACAGCTTCATAGAGGAGACAATGTTTGAGCTGAGGTTTTGAAAGATAAGTCACATTTCCCAGGCAGATGGAGCAAAGAAACATACTCCAGGCAGAGAGAGCATGAGCAAAGGCACACTTTTCCATGTTGGCCATGGTTAGGGAGATTCAAGTATTTCACTACAGCTGGTGCTATGGGAAATGAGCGTAGGGTGGGGCTGGGGACCAGAAGAGGAGAGGAAGGATGAAACCAGATAAATGGTGGACCATAAACAACTTTCTGTTATAGGGAACAGAGAGACTACTGAGAGGGGTACTATGGTCACATTTGGGTTTAAAAACAGGGTAAGATTGGGCTGGCCGAGTGACTTAAGTGGTAGAGCACCTGCCTAGCAAGCATGAGGCCCTGAGTTCAAAGCCCAGTACCACTAAAACAAAACAAAGGAACAGTGTAAAGGGACTAGTGAGGTACCAGACCATGCGGGAGGACTCAGATCCTTTAGATCTCCAGGTGAGAAACAAGGTTTGAACAGAGGCTATGGCCATGGGGGAAAAAGAGGTAGCCAGATGGGCTATGAATCTAGTCAGTTATTAGGTATGAGAGGAAGGGAAGAAAGTTTTCTGCATTATATCCATTGACTAATATTAAGGATATAGAAGAAGGGGTGCAGGGTTGAGCATAAATTATTAGTTTTTTGAGTTGGGGTGCCTGTGGAACACTTAGGTAGTGAGAGGTTGGGAGGGTAGTTGAGTGCTCAGATCTCTATTTGGATGGTAGACAGTACTAGTTTTGGGGCCAGGATGTAGCTCAATGATACCATGCTTGCCTAGCATATGTAAGGTTCTGGGGTTCATTCTGAGCACTCCAAAACAACAACAAAAACAATACAGTTTCTCACTGATAACCACTTCTTTCCCATGTGATTGGGTACTAATGCCATGTGACAAGTTCTGGCCAATGGACTGAGAATGAAAGTGATGTATGTCCCTTTCAGTTGAAGGATTTAATTGCTGATGCAAGAGCCTCTGACTCCTCCCTCCACAAGGCGACTGTGGAGATTTGGAGATGAGAATGTGAGGTTGACACAGCGCTACAGTTGGATCACCAAGTCATCATAGGGAGGACAGTCACCTAGACCTGCAGAAGACTCTCTATGAGCAAAAACAAACTTCCAGGTTAAGTTAGAGATTTGGGGATAGTTTCTTGGCTCACTCAACCTACCCTGTCCTTCCTCATTCTGTTTGAGATACAGATGAAGTCATCAACACACACGTGATAGAAACTGTGGGCACGGATAAGACCACTCAGGTACATGGAGAATAAGAATTCGATTCCTAGAATTCTGAGGAACACCAATATTTAGGAGGGAAGGAGACAGTGGAGTTGGCCAAGGAAACAAGAAATAGTGACAGCAGAAATAGCATGACCAAATGCTATTGGAAGCCAGGGGAGAGAAGGAAGGAAGAAATGCTGTGGCTAGCAGTGCCAAATGCTGCAAAATGAGAGTTCAAGTAAGATGAGGACTGGAGAGGGCACACTGGATTTGGGAGTCAGGTATCACATCTCTTTTACTAAAGCATCTTGGGGTGTGGTTGTGGTAGGGACCTCAGGGTCTTTGCATAAGCTGTTCCTTCTGTTTGATGGTCACCTATCCTTCAGGTACCACTTCATATATAATTTGCTCCAGGCCATTCTTGAATTCCTGAACTAGATTGACTTCACTTATGTGCCCGTCACCCGTTTTAACATCAGGAACGCTTGTATTGCCTCCTGTCGTCATCACTGGACTATAAACTCTGTGAATGCCACTGTCTTACCCTAGTTCCTAGCAGTGCCCAACCCATGGTATGCAGTTTACTGTCAAATGAGCTTCCTGCTCTGCCAATGAAAACATCATTCTTTCAAGCTTCATCCTTACCTTTCTCCTTTCAGTGGAAGAAGTTTTTCCCTGTTGAATGTTAATTCCTCCATGTGTCATCTGGATATAGTTCTCCAACTTAGAGATTTTACTACATCTATCATTCTTCTCACTACCTTTTTTATTTTTTATGTGGGACCGGAATTTGAACTCAGGTGCTCTACCACTTGAACCACACCTCCAGACCATTTTTGCTCTGGTTATTTTGGAGATGGGATTTTGTGAACTGTTTCCCCGGGCTGGCCTCAAACAGCGATCCTCCCGATCTCAGCCTCCCAAATAGCTAGGATTACAGGCACAAGCCACCAGCGCTTTTTCATCCTCTTCTTCTTCATTCAAGCCTCTCTCATCTTCAGATTTCTCTGAACCAATCTTTGGCTCCTTCTAGTTACTGGGGTGAGAATTATACAAAAGTCAATTCGGTCCTTTCACTCCACTGTCTTCTATCTTCTGTCCCTATCATTTAAACAAAATTAACCTAAAACCAATAAGGACCTGTGAACTGTGAACTTAGATTAGCACTTTCAGTCCTTCTCTTAATCTCCCTAAGAAATTTACTGTTGACTCTTCCTACCTGAAGTTCTCCATTCTACTTTCTTCAATGACTGACCACTTCCTTTTTGCAGAACCCTTTTTCTCTACCATTCCTCAGTGATGCTATTTCCGTTTAGCATCATTCTCCGTTTAGCCTTATTCTCTTTTCTGAAACCTGGTTCCTCCCATATTCCAAGTCATACATCCTCCCTTCTTTACTCACTCAAGCAAGAAACCAGACTCAACTTGTTGCTTCCCCTTTTCTTTTTTCTCCCAGGCAGGTCCTAATGTTGCCTTTGGGTTATCAATTACCCACTTTCCTTTGGTACTGCCAAGGTCTGTGGTTAAGGTCCTCCCTATCATGTAGCTAGAATGATCAACAGCCTAACTAGCTGTTCCCCTCTTCAAACTGTCCTCTGCATTTGGTAGAGGTTTTTTTCTGAAATGAAAGCCACCATTTGGTGGCTGACCTCTGTCCTCAGAACAAAAATTCTAAGCGTGGCATTTAAGGATCCTAATATAACACCTGTTTTTATTCCACTCTTCTTTGAGTTTTAAAAATACCACATTCTCCTTCCACATCTTCTCTATAATAACAAACACTGCCTCATCTTCCTTGACTTGAATCCTGCAGACACGTTTTCCAAACATCACCTCAGACACCATTTCTTTTCTCATCTGTCACCTTTCTGCTTTCTCCATGTTTTCCTGGATGTTTTCATTGACTCTGTGGTCCAAAAATTTTAAGTATCATTCACTGATTAATTGAATAGTTTACTGATAAACTATTGTTTATTACATGTCAATTTGGTTAAGATGAACTAAATTTTTCTAGAATTCTCTCCCTGAATGTTCTGGTTAGCATAAACCACACAATTCTTGAGCATGATTTGCCTGGTGGACATTTTTGTTGCTCACACGTTATTGTGTTGACTCAAGTTGCAGTTGGGCAACTTCCAAACCTTTCCCTGGATAATTCGTTTCTCTAACCTTTGGACCGTGTGTTTGTGATGAAGGGCAACCATCAAGATCACAGATAACAAAACTAATAGGTTTCAGTATGTGCTGTGATCTCTACTTGTTCATTACTGTCTCCCATTTTACATCCATCTTCCCTTAATTGCCTGCCTGGTGGACTTCAAGCTTTAGCATCAGAAAGTTATCAGCCTTACAGAGACTACATAAGAAGCTCACACAACAGTCAAATCCATTAAATATAAACCTGTATTCTAGTGGTTCTGCTTCTCTGAACCCGGATGTGACAGTTACATACAGGGGAAATGACAAGCTGGTAAGACTATCTAAAATGGTGTTTGCCATACTCTCAAAGCACCCTGCTATCATATATTCTGGTCTTCCTAGATTTTTTTCTTTGAGGTAGGGTCTTTTATCTCTGTATGACCAGGATAGTACATTGCTTAGCACAAACTAGGTGTTTTATAATTTTTGTTACATGAACAGTTTCGAACATCTCTTCTGACAAGTAACAAAGATATCAAAGTGATTTCTATTAGATTGATGCATTAGCCATTAATATTGACTCAAATGACTGCTACATAAATTAAATGATCCATTCTCCAACTATTTCCCATTAAATTGTTCACAAAAGTACAAGTACATCTTGTGTATGGGAGAATTAAATGTAGACAAACTTCTGACGTGAAGAATTTTCTGATTTATCTGGATTTTTTTCCCTTAAATTGTTATTGCAATAAAATGCATGTAAATTTTCATCTTAGCCATTTTTAGTTATAATTTAAATACACTCATAATGTACAACCATCACTACTACCCACCTCCATAATTCATCTTGTATAACTGAAATTTTATATCCATTTAAGCAATAACTCCCCATTCCCTGACAACCAACATTCTTTTTCTGTGATTGTGACTAGAAGAGTCTCACCCGAGTGGAATCACACAGTACTCATCTTTTTATGACTGGTGTATTTCATTTTGCATAACATCCTCAAGGTTCATCCATAATGTAATAAATGTTAAAACTTCCTTTTTATGGCAGAATAAAATTCCTTTATATGACTGTGCCACATTTTGCTTCTCCATTTACTTGTTAGGCTGTCACCATGTTTTAGCTATTGTAAATAATACAGCTATTTACATGGTATATAAGAATCTCTTCAAGATGCTTTTAAATCTTTTTTTTGGAGACCAAGTCTTGTTATGTTACCAGGCTGGCCTTGAATTGGGCTCAATTGATCCTTCTGCCTAAGTGGCCTGACAAGCTGTGTCCACAGATACACGCCACACCTGGCTTCCTTTATAATTGAGTACATACCCAGAAGTGAAGTTGTGAATCATACAGCAATTACATTTCTAATTTTTTGAGGAACTACTATGGTTTTTTATAGTAGCTGTACCATTTCCGGCACTGCACAAAGGTTCTAATTTCTCCACATCCTCATCATCAAAAACTTGTTTTTTTGTTTCATTTTCAATAATAGGATAAACCTCACAGTGGGGGGAAGTACAATTCTTTCTTTTCTTTTCCTCCCTCCTTTGTTCCTTTCCTTCTTTAGTGTTGGGGGCCAAATCCAGAGCCTCAGCCATGCTAGGCAAGTTCTCTACCACTGAGTTACATCTCTAGTCCTTTTCTGTGTTCTTGATAGTTATATGTTAGATTATTATATGATTTTATGACAATGAGTCTATAGTATTTTCTACAGGTATACTACTAAAATTCTCCAGTTAATGACATGACTTGGTATGCATTTCCTTTAGTTATTTAAGAGTGGTACAAACAAGCCTTAAGCTTCTCATAATCTATTAATTAGCTGGAAATATCAGTGAATGGTCTCACAAACAAGATACTAGTTCAATGACTCATTTTTACACATACAAAAATGTTAAACTGTTATTTCAGAGAATTTTGAAACTTAAAAAACCTTGTTTCAATTGTCACTTTATTGCAAGATGGTAGAATTACAAATTTAAACTATAACTTGGAAACTTTTAGTTAGGCAACCAACTTTAATAAACGCAAACTGCTGCTTCAAAAGTGATCACTGAGCATCTTAAAATGCAGAGTAAGGATGACAAACATCTGACTGACCAACAGACTTAGTTCTCACTAAATGAAACTTGAACTTTTCAAGACAGGTGAACTGTAATTTTAGCAGACAGCAGTATAGAAAGATTCTGTGTCATAGACCAGTGTCTGCTAAATGTTGGTGGCGGTCTCAACCGGGAGAGCTACATTTACATAACTGGCTGTGCTTGTGCCTTCTTTGCGAGCAGCTTTAGATCCGCAATGCACTTGGCAATCGTCTCCTTTTCCTGTGATAAGAGACATCTGGTTAGACCTTTCTAACACACAAATGGATATAAATATAATTCTAAAAGATGCCTCCTACCAGACCAGAACCTCAAGATGATTACTGACTTTGTATGTAAGTCTACTAGAAAAGTTTAGAAGTAAAATTAATTATGTAACATAAAGGAGATGCAATATATTTTCAAAGCAAATCCAGGTAGTTAAAATTCTCTGCCTCACAGCTTTTTACAAGTGAAACCTACAAAGAATTTCAGGCCAGACATTCCTATAATCATCTGCCCATAATGTTGGCTTATACAGCTAACAGATCCTTGAAAAAGACCAACCAACAATCATTAGAAATATAGAAATGTTAAGAATAAAAATAATTATGTCTCTTTTTTTATACTTTTTGGTATTTTTCTAAGTTTCTTAAAGGTGTGTATATTACTTTTATGTAAAGGCAGTTTATTAAAAACAACCCTTCAAATTTTGATAGACACTGTTGTTCTAGTTCTGTACAGGTTATGCAGGAAATGACCAGAAATGCCTATATATGCAATGTAGCTGGGAAAGAAATAAAATCATAAGTAAATAAAGAATATAAATAAAAAAATACAATTTGAGCAAATATAAAATATTCCTATTCTGTTCAGGTAGATGAGTTAAGCAGCTAGAAATGGGAAATGAAATGGAGATCATAAAACCCTTTGGTAAACCTAACTTTAAAGAACAGGGAAAGCCATCATGGCATCTGTGTATCATCTTCTAGATTACCACCATTAAAAAAATTAAACCCTTCTGTTTCTAGGCTTGGAACTAGACTCCTTCCTGGTTACTCCTTCTTTTAAAAATCATTAGCAGATGCTTACTGGTGATACCAGTACAACTCCAGAGGCTACAAACCAGCATGTACCTGCTGTGTGGAGATGCTCTGTACCACATTCTTCTCTACCCAGTTTATCATGTGCTCTTGCTCCTTTCGACGCATCATATCCTGCACCGAGATATGATAGTCCAGGCGACTCTTGACCTCCTTATAAACTTTATGTAGCCGATCCCGGTAAGTAACCTCCAAGGCCATAGCAATGTTATTCTGGGACAAAATTAAGAAATGATTAATGCTCTCTGCGTACTTCTGAAGAACAGTCCACTTCTTTTATGTGAATTTCCTTTAATATGAAACAGTAACATACATGTAGTAAAAAGAATTACAGCAGCAGCAGTAAAAATGTATTTATAAGCATAGGCAGTGAGAAATAAGTCTCTCCTGACTTTCCCATGACTACCATTTCATGTTTTTCTTATATTCTCTCTGAAAAATATTTAATAAACACAATATAGGTATGTATACATAAACATCACTTTAATTGATATGCAAAACTTACTCGATTTTAAGATACACTGGATTTCACTATATTGGTGTTCCATTACTCATTTAGTTAAGCTCTATTAATAGATTAGGTTGCTTCCAACTTTTCTACTATATATATATAGTGCTATATACATATTGTATATTTGTCTTTGCACTGTGTGAATACTTTCTCAAATGACAGCTCACGTGTTGAGTACCTGCTATATTCTAAACATTCTTGTGTGTGTGTGTGTGTGTGTGAGTTCAATTAAATCTTATAACCACACCATGCGGATAGTTATAGGTATATCCATTTTACAGAGACAGAAGTTAATGAACTTGCTCAAGGTTACAGAACTAATAAATAAGCCAGGCTACAAAGCCCATGCTCTTTAAGAATCTGTACTTGGCTCACCTGCAGGCATCTCAAACTGATTTGAAGGCTATTTGCAACAAGGCTGCCAGAGATGTGGGATCCTATCGTTTTTGAGTTTCTCATCCATAGTACAGGTCTAAGTCCTCAAAAAAGCCTGTATGACTTTACATGTGATAGTCCCTGGCTATCCTTTTCCTTTAATTCCCTTGCTTTCTTTTATTTTCTCCTTTTGCCCATCCTGTTTCAGTTACATCAGCCTCCTGACTTTTCCTTGATTATGCCAAGAAAACTTCCAGGTTATGCCCTGGCACTTGCTTTACCCTTTGCCTGGAACACTATTTCCCCAGAAATCCACATAGCTTGCACCATTACTTCTTTCAGGTCCCTGCTCAAATATCACATTTAGAAGCCTTTCCTCACTGCCCTATAAAGTAGCAAATCATTCACTCTGCAATGTCTTTTGCTTTAACAGTAGTTTATAGTTGTTTCTAGCACTCATTACTCATTGCCACTCATGTGCACTCAAGTATTTACTTTCCAATTCTCCCCCAATGCCTGGCTAGAAAATAAATTCCTGAAGGCAGAAATTTTCATTTCCTGCTATATTTTCAACACCCTGCCTAGACCACAATACCCACACAGGAAGAACTTCAGTATCTATGAGTATCATTTGACTTATAAAAAACCTATATGTTCTAGAAATCTTTAGGGATCTTGTTTAAAAGAATATGGATCCTTACCCCTAAGAGAGGCTGTGGTTCTACCTACAGGTCTTAGAATGGGTCTAAAAACCTATACTGGCTCTGATGCACTGGGTATTAAGACCACACTGAGAAATGCTGGCCTAGATCCTAATGTTTTAGATATTACTCTATTTCAGTTTCTCACTTTTCATTTCACAGGTGCTTCTATAATATAAAATTTCAATGCGACAAATCTTTCTTTTAAATATTAGGTTCAAATAACAAAATACTTGAACATGTTCCTAATCTTAGAAACTAAGTATTTTAGAATGTACTTATGCTGAGAATTTGAATTTAAGGTATTAGTTTTTCTAATAGGAAATATGTAAGTAAGATTTTCTTATAGCAAGTGTGTATGAAATCTATAATTTATTCTTCAACTTTGGCTTTTCTTAATGACTATTTTCATTTTGTGCAGATCAAACTGTGCTCTTTTACAACTTATTCGGTTTGCAATTTTAGAACAATCCCAAGTATTTTTTCACTTGACAGTTCTTTAATGTCTAAATAGCCATAATTGCCAACCTCTACCCAAATCTTCTTAATAAAATGTCTATTTTTTTTTTCCTTTCCAGAGCTGAAGATTGAACCCAGAGCCTTGTGCATGCCAGACAAGGTGAAAGATTTATGTGATCTGAACAGAAACCAGAGTATTTTTTTTTTAAAATGCATATAAATGAGTAACTTTATTCTCTTCGAGAGCTACTGAAACCTACCCTCTGGACATCAAAAAGATAGTGGCGCTTCTGAACCAGTGCTTGCTGTGACTTCTCCAATTCAATTGCATCCTGGATTTGTTTGATGGAAGCTTGCTTCACCTCTTCTAGTTGGGCAATTTTTTGCTGTAATCATGACTTAACAAAGGTGAGTGAAAGCATCAAGGTCATAAAAATAAATTCATTTTATGCTCCCTCAAAGTTTTATATCTCATTTGTGAAAATACCCAAAGAAAGATGCACATATACAGGAATGCACAAATTATTAAGAAGAACTGCCTATAAGAGCTACACAATGTTACTGAATAAGACTAAGGAAAATACCTTACTGAATAAGACTAGATGTAAAAGAAAATGATCTCAAATTAGTAACTAAATTTAATACCTATAATTGTAATCAGTATGATTAGATTTATTTCTTTATGTTCTTCCTCTAACAATCATATAAAAATATCACTAGATAGCTTCGGTGTTTCTGCTACAGCCTAAAATGGGAAATAAAGTTTACGATCCTTACCTCATTGAGTTTGTCAATAAATTCTGCAACGGAGGCACCATATTTTTTAATTACATAGACAAGTAACCCTATTACTGACATGGCTGAGACAGTCTCTGGGGTAATCACATATATTTCTTTAGATAGGAAATACAAGATAAGCCCAGTTCCCAGCATGTAGGGTCCTAAAAGAAGAAAAAGTGACTTTATGAATGGATATGTTATGCTTAAAAAGGGAAAGATACAAAGATATTTCTGAATTTCATTATTTGAAGACAAAGTTAAATAACAATGTAAAAGCTCAACAAATATTTTACAAAGATGTCAGGTTACTTTCTGAAGTAATCTGTCTAGCAAAATATACTATTTATTGAATGAAAGCATTTAGATAGGATAAAAATTTCTACACTTGCTGCCTATTTTTACTGAACAGCAATCTGACATAGGAGAGAAACAAAAAAACCAAACATTTATGTAAAAGGAAGAAATAAATATCTGAATTCTTAACTCCTATAGCATCTAATTATAATGCTTCATTTACAGTCACCTTTTTCTTTAACCAGGCCATGAGTTCTGAAAGGACATAAACCATGATTTAGGACTCTGGACACAAACATTTCTTTAGCATTTTCTTCCATGCCTCCTAAGATGTTAGGTTGGGATATGCCAGGAGTGTTTTTTTGTGCTTCTATTTTGTAGTGCATTTCATAGTATTTCTGAGCAGCGCTAGTAACAAGGAATGTTAAGATGTTTTATGAGCAAAAGGGTTATAGTCTCAAATATATTTTATCCAGATTTCCCAAAGTTTCAATAGTTCGTTTTCAAAAAATTGCCTTTAATATATAAATTTTAAGTATGAATTTGCAAGAAAAGTCAATCATTTGTAACATTTTTATCATCTATGGAGATCTGAGTACACAAATTTTCTTTCAGTTAAGGAAATGCTATAGATCATTATAGGGTTCAAACTTTAGTTCCCAATGTTCCATAGTCCTAACAGTATTTGGGTACAGGAAGAAAGGCAGTGTGTGTAGCAGAAAGAATGCTAACTTAAGCAGGGGCCTATGCTCAAGACCAGCTTAGTTACTAGAAAGATAGTATCACCTCAGAAAAATGTTTTTCTAGTTATTCTCGGTAATAAAAAGTCTCCAGGGGAATGTTGTAAGGATTAAATAACAAACATGAAATCATATTCATTATAAAAAAGCAAGGCTTTGAAAGTTTATGCCTTTTTAAAAGGGAGACAACTGATAAAGATGGTCCAATTTGTTACTATGTATATCTGTCCAGCTATATATACACACATGCAATTTAATAGTTTCTACTGCTTTATTTTATCCACAGCTCTTTTTATTGCCTGACAGTATATGTATATAGTTAGTTGTCTTTTAGAAATTGTTTAATCCTACAATAAAATCTATGTTCCCTAATGACAGGCACTTAACTTAGTCTGCCATTGTATGCCTAGAACTGTCTGGCATTGTGCAGGCATTCAAGAAATTTGTTATGTCAAGAAATGAAAACAATGTTATAAAATTAAGTTAAAACCCCAAACAGACTCATTCCAGAGTTAGAGCAACCAATTTTTATACTGAATCACCTTTTAAGGAACAGCTGACCTAATTTTAGTGGTACCATCCAAATACACTACTGAAGATTGGGCAAATTCTCACCTGTTACGCCAGTTTTAGGATAAAGGAACTGAAAGAATTCCTCAGGGATCAGCCCAAGACGTACTTTCCCTCCATATTCAGGAAGAGGTGGTAGAGGGGCAAGACTTGGCTGCCCTGTGTGAAAGATCCTTTTTGCCTGCAATACCCTACAAGTAGCAATTGTACAAATTTAAAACCTGTTTTTCAGAGAAAACGCAATGTATGAACAATTAGCAGAAACAATGACTGGAGATGAGGACTGAAGCAGTTTTCTATTATAATAATGGGAAGAATGACTTTCAGACACTTAAAGCCTTATATAACTTTCTACCCAACAGCAGAATTCTTTCTATAAATTTTATCTAGATAACTCATCTAGTACTATGTATGCCTATTATTAGGAATGACATATGCATGTAGAGTCTGACTCTACAGCCAGACTCTCTGGGTTGAAATCCTCATCCTAGCATTTGACTTTGAGCAAGATCTTTAAACTTTTGTAATCTCAGATTTCCCTATGCAAAATGGAAATAAAGTATATTACTTTATAGGGTTGTTATGAGGACTGAGCTAACATATGTAAAGTGCATACATATGGAGCTTGGTAAATGGTAAAGTTCTGTACAAACTGTTAGTTATTGTATGCCTGTTGTGTTACAAGCTCCTTGACACCAAGAACTTTGAACTTTCTGAATATTTCCTTTGATGGGATGGCTGATAACCACTATGGGTAACAGGCCTTTTCAGTGTTGGGTAGTTCTCATTATGTCCACTTTGAATTGAGCTGCTACATACATCCTTGGAACCCCAATCCATTGGTTCTAATTTTTCTTGTCTATGTAATGTAATACTCATGTATCTGGGTTAAACATCATAGTTCTCTCAAAGTCCTGACTCCTGACCAGAAAGAGCTCTCCGGTTTTGTTTTTTAAAAAATGAGGTATACAGAACCGATCATGATATTTTAAATATAGTCTGACCAATTCATAACCAGTAAATAATATTTACTCCATGTCAGTACTAGGCTTAAAATATTACACTATCATTGACAGATTTGTAAACTCCTCTTGTATTAAAGCAGCCTAAGACTGTATTTTTAGCAGTTACAGAAAATATATATATATATATATATAAAAAATTTTTTTTTTGGTGGGACTGGGGTTTAAACTCAGCATGTCACACTTGCAAAGCAGACAGCCGACTACTGAGCCACACCTCCAGTCCATTTTGCTTAGGTTATTCTGGAGATGGGGTCTCTTGAATTTGTTTCTCAGGCAGACCTTGAACTCCGTTCCTCCCGATCTCAGCTTCCTAAGCAGCACTGCTTGCTGGTGCCTAGCCTGGTTACAGCATATTGATGTCTCATTAAGCTTTGGATAAAATCTTTTGGCTCATTCATATTCACTGTCAAACTTAGACTCCTTCAAGTTCTTAGTATGATTCTGCCCCATTTCATATCTCCCACCTCCCCTACTCTCTCTGGCTCTATCCCCTTGCACTTTAAGAGTTTTTACCATTTCAGGCTCAAGAGGTAAAGCACCTGCTCAGCAAAAGCAAAGCCCTGAGTTCAAACCCCATTACTGCCAAAAAAAGTTTATATTATTTCATTGATTTTGGTTCATGTCTATCTTTTTTTTTCCTTCCATGCTGGGGATTGAACCTAGGACATTTTGGACTGGATAATTCTTTGCTGTGCAAGCTGTTTTATGTACTGTTGAACGTTTAGCGCTAAATCTCCCTCTCCCACCTCCCACTGGTGACACCCAAAAAAATGTCTCCAGAAGTTGCCACATGTCCCATGCAAAAGCTGATTGAGGTTGAGTACTACAGATTTAACTCAGCATTCGAGGACTTGCTTTAAGCTGACACAAATCCTCTCCCCAACTGAAAGTCTTAGTTGAACCCTTTCTCCTCTCTTAAACAATCTGAAATCTGATCTTTCTGTGTCTTGTCTAATACCCCTAAAATCTAGCTTGTTCATATTACTGCCAATTTGACTTGGCAGTATTTGACTTGCAAATTTCACTTGAAAACTCTTTAATAGGCTCTGCCTACTTAATACAGCATTCTTGACCCAGTACCTGTCAAATTTTATAACTTCATCTTCCTTTATTTTCCTACCTCCATCCATATGGAACTACTAACACCCCTCAAAAACAAGCACTTGCCTTTGCTGCTCCTTCTGCCTAGTATGCCTTTCACTTAATGACTGCCAAGTTCCACTAGTCTTCAGAACATCTCCAGCACATCCTTTACAAAGTCCTCCCCGCCCATGGGCTATCATTCTTTCAATTAATCAACATAATGTTTGACTTTCTACTCACGCCAGGCCCTAGGAACACAGCAATGAACAAAGTCCTAATCTTCAACATTTTCATGAGGGTGTAAGAAGTATGTATGTCCATACAAAACTTTAGACAGCTGTAAGTATTATGAAGAAAAATGTGGAGGGGCAGGAGCAAGAGAACAGGGAAGTTTTATGGTAGGTCAGATGACATTTGAACCAAAGACCAGGGGAAAAAAGATCCTAAGGCAAGAATGAGCTTGGCAGTTTTCAGAGAAACAGCAAGACCAGTATAATTAAGAAAATGAAAGTAGAAGGAATCAAGAGGTAGGATGGGATCAATTCATGCTGGGCCTTTTGGATTATGCTAAGTTTGGACAATTATTTTTTAATGTTTTTCTCCAGTAAGTTGGGAGCAGTCAATTATACCTTCACTTTATTGCATACATAAGACAATTACAGGTAAATTAAAACCAGTTCAAACCACAGTGTAGTTACCACATTTTTCAAGCTCTATGATTAAGTTTGGGAGTAAAAAAATTTCAACAGAAACAAAAAAAACACACCAAAACCTAACATGTTTTAGAACACAATTTAAAAAGCAACAGCTGTTAACATTTACTAAGCACATACTGTGTGCCAAGTTTTTAAAGTTTCACAGGAATTAAGTCTCTTAATTTTCAGAACCTATAATGTATGATTATCTCTATTTTGCAGGCAAAGAAAGTGGAGTCTCACAGCTGGTAAGTCTCACTACCCTATTGCCTCTACCCAGATGAGCTGTGGGCTACAAGGAGGCAGGCACTCACACAGCCTTAGTACTGTGATCTTTGGTTATATGGGTGGCAAGATAAACATTCACCGAATCAATGAATGATTTCTCTGACTTTTATGATCCAGCAGTAAAAAGCAAGTTTCCTGGGAGATAGTGAAAACAAGCTTCACTGTTTTAATTAACAAATTTTGCTCTTGGGTATGTACTCTAGTAACTGATTCAGAACTGCACTTACCTGAAGGTCACAGGGAAGGGGTGGAGCTTAAAAGAAAAACCAGTTTCCAGTTTGGTGTTAACTCTTTAGTTATCCTATTAAGTCCTCATGACTAGGGGATATGATGGCGTTGCAGGCAGTTTACAGGAAAAAGAGTTGTAATGAGACTTTAAGCGGCCCGAAATTAGGAAGAAAAGCTAAAGCTAAGAAGAAACAGGGACATGAAGCAAGGTGATAAACAAGGGCAAGACACTGCTCACTTACCCTGGTCCTAGGAGGGCTGCGTTCTTCAGACAGGGGGCTGCAGATACACAAGGCGCAGGTCAGCAAAGTCAAGGTAAAATCTACTTTGTCCCTTCCTCTGTCTCTGCGGGCACCGAGCACTATGGCCATGGACCCCTCTCTCCCATCCCCCACCTGGCGCTCCCCTTCCTACCGGCACCGATGGGCACTCAGGCCCAAATCTCGCTGCGCTTTTCTTCACCCACTTTTCCCCTCCTTGTGACCCCCCATACTTGCTTCTTTCCATTCACCCTGATAGCCCAGACAAGCTTCTACACCTCTCACCCGCTGTGGCGGCAGCAGAAAGTACCACCCGGGACAGCATGGTCAACAAGGGTCTGGACAGCGGGCCTAGCGTCCCCGTGACCCCGTCCGGAGACTGTATCAGGGGTAGAAGCAAGATGGCCACTAGCAAGTCTCGCGAGACGAGAACATCGTACTGTCTTGTCAGTTTTCCTCGGGCGAGGTTTTTTTTATCCTCTCGCGAGAAGAGGCAAAGCGCCCTGATAACCTGTTGCGGGAGGGGGTAGGTAGAAAGCGGGACGGAAGCGTAGAAGCAGTTCTCGCGAGAAGTAGAGTTACTGTAGTCTTCATAGAGGGGCGGAGGCCCAGTGGTGCACCACGTGGGGTTGCCACCCGAGCTGAATCGGACTGGCATTCAGTTTGGGTTTAGGTTGGATTTGGAACCGTGGAGATGCGGAAGGAGACCCCTCCCCCGTTAGTGCCCCCAGCGGCCCGCGAGTGGAACCTTCCCCCTAATGCGCCTGCCTGTATGGAACGGCAGTTGGAGGCTGCGCGGTACCGGTCTGGTGAGCCAAGATCCCAGGCCTGGGAGCACCCTCGTCCCAGCCCGGGCCGACCCTCTCAGCCCTCCCCACCCCTCGTGCCATCCTGACCCTTGCCTGCCTCGCGTCGCCGAGCTGCCCCAGCCCTGCCCCACATTTCTGAGCTCAGGTCCAGATCCGGTCCGCGTGCTGTCCGGTGCGGTCACCATGGAGACCAGCCGGTCCATCTATCTACTTGCGCTGACAGCCTTGTGCCTCCTTCCCCCGTAGATGGGGCGCTTCTGCTGGGAGCCTCCAGCCTGAGTGGTCGCTGCTGGGCTGGCTCCCTCTGGCTTTTCAAGGACCCGTGTGCCGCCCCCAACGAAGGCTTCTGCTCCGCCGGAGTCCAGACGGAGGCCGGAGTGGCCGACCTCACTTGGGTGGGAGACCGAGGTATCCTAGTGGCTTCTGATTCAGGTGAGTCGTTTTCCCCTCACTCCCCACTCTCCCAGTTGAATGGAGGCTTTGGGTACAGGTTAGGCTGGGCTCAATGTTAAAGCATCCCATACTCAGTGATTGGAGGAGCAAGCAGATAGTGTTAGCCCCAAACGCGAACTCTAGTGTAGGTAGGAAGTATCTTTTCCAAGATTCTAAATTACCAGGTGGGAGTCCCAGAAAAAAAAAAAAATCCATAAGAAAATGAAGAAATAGCTTGTAATCTTTCCCCTGACCCCCGCAGCCCAGACCAAAGATAATCTTGGTTGAAGCCAGTCTGTGCTACCTGTCTTTCCATTTTTTCTTAAATGTCTCCATTCTGCATTGTTTTGAATGTCAGGCTAAGCAATGTAGGCTTTGGCATTAAAAAGAAACAACAACCCAGAATTTAGAAGTTGACAGGCAGTGTGTGAAAGTTAAACGGTAGAACATTGGAACATTGAGCCTCTACTCAGGAGGCATAGATCAGGAGGTTCGAGGCTAGCCCGTGCAAAAAGTTTGTGAGACTCCCTGTCCCCTCCAACCTCAAGCAGTGGCTGGGCACTGTGGTGCAAGCCTGTGATCCCAGTTTTGCTGGAGAAGCATAAACAGCATCATGGTCCAGAATGACCTAAGCAAAGCGAGACCGTATAAGAAATAGCCAATGCAAAAAGGGCTGGCAGAGTGGCTCAATTGGTAAAGCATGAGGCCCTGAATTTAACCCCCAGTACCACAAAAAAAAAAAAAAAATCGAGCCTCTGACTGTTGAATTTAATGCTAAGACTGCAAACATTTATTCAAACAGCTCAGCACATACTTATTAGTGTCTGAGTAATAAGCAAAGGTTAGCATGACTGAACTATATTCTTAGACAATTGTGTAGATTTCATTCTTATCCCTTGGGAAATGATTTTCTAGTGTTTTCTCACTGGAAGAGTAATGGATTTTACAGGCTGTTTCATCTTTTTCTAACTTTTTCTAGGAGCTTTCCCCATATACTTGTCTGGGCTGTTATTAGAAAACAATAAGACAGCATAAAACCAAATGGCCTGGACGTTAGCTAAATCCTTTAGTGAAGTGGACTTTGGTTTTAAGGGAATAACTTTGTTAGTTTAGTGACAATGACTGCTTGAGGCCTACAATTGAATTACTATCTTGGTATAATTCAAGGTTATGTTTTCCTTCACTGGTCCCCCTCACCTCATTCCCAACAGGTGCTGTTGAACTGTGGGAGCTGGATGACAACGAGACACTTATTGTCAGCAAGTTCTGCAAGTATGAGCATGATGACATTGTGTCTACGGTCA